TGTTAAACTATAAAATTTTGTTTCTTCCATTTCCCCCCCCCCCCTCCTGATTTTCTTAGAGCACTTTGGGAAGCATGGTCAGCATTTACAGCGGGGCAGGTGACTTTGGCAACATCAGCGTCACGGGGGAGATCACTTTCTCCTTGAGCTACGAAGAAAAAACGCAGGCCTTTTTTATCCATGTGAAGGAATGCCGCCATCTGGCATATGCTGACGAAGCCAAGAAGCGGTCCAGCCCGTACGTTGGGCAAGGGGTTGCAATGGATGGGGGTGAGGTTTCTGGGACGGGCTTTGTTTACCTTTCAGAGAAGCTACAAGACCAGGTGTGATCATCTCCAGAATTGGCTTTTAGGCCCAGCTTTCAGCCAAGTTTGGACAATGTGCTACTCTGGATTGTAGATGTCATGAATCTGTGAGGGAAGATGATCTGGAACCTGAGCCGACAGAGATTGAGGGGGCGGCTTTGTTGGCTTCGGAGGAAAATGAGGAAGGGTAGGGCCAGTTAGGCCAAGGCCTTTCAGGATTAAGGACAGTTTGTAGACAGAGAGAAACAGGGGCAGGATGAACGTGAGAGACAGAGCTCAGGCGAGGAGCAAGGACCACCCCCTCCTGATCCGAGAGCACAGAGAGTAGAGAGAAGGCAAGAACCAGAGGTGGGTTCTTACCAGTTGGGACCGGTTCGGCCGAATAGGTAGTAACTTGGCAGCCTGGGTCGCTGGAACCGGCAGCGACCCAGGCCTGCCACGGCCCCAAACCGGTTCTCTCGTTTTTGGCTTCTGCGCAGGTGCAGAAGTATTTTTTTTTAGTACTGCGCATGCGTGAAAATTCTGCATTCAAGGACACACGCGTGGCGCCTCCCTGAGCAAACTGGCAGTAGCAGCAGCCGGAACCCACCCCTGGCAAGAACTGCGCAGACTGAGCACGCTCCTTGGGAGGAGTGTGCCCCGCTCATCTTCACCAGGCACACCTGGGGAATGAGACTTCGGGAGACACTGTGGGGGAGAGGCCTTTGTTGGGAACAAATACTGAATTCCTGAAGTGTTGTTGCATTCTTTATGGCTTTCTAGGCTAATTAACTGGATACTTCGCTTCCTTGATGCCCTGCTGGATTTATTGCTGTGCAGCCTTGGTGTACACAGTGCTGGGCTGGACAATTTGCAGCCAGAGGCTGTTTGAGTTGTGTGTGTTTGTGTGGGGGGTTGTTATCACTCTGCTCTGGGACTTTCCAGAACTGTGGGAGCGTTTGGGGAAATTTGGAGCAATAAAGGGGTGGTTTGAACTGCCAGCTGCCTGTGTCATCTCTGTGCTGTGCCACAGGTCATCCCAGTAGGTGCTTCTTGTACCGTGAGAACCAGCTGTGTTTTCTAATCCAAGCTCTCTCTACATGCTGTCTACCTATGATAGATGAATGTAACTGACTGTGATGTATTCATCGAGCCATGGCTTATGAGAACCAGGGCAACGTGTTACACAATATTGCAGCAAAATGAACCTTAAAACGTGGCTCTGCCAGTTGGCCTGGGCTCCAAATGAAAATGTATCACCCTGGGAGGGGGGGGGTTATTGGATTGAAGACATGACCCCACCCCCCTCCACTCTGTGGTATCCCCCTGTTGTCTTAGCTGTTTCTTCGTTAATTTTACATTCAGGTTATAGTGATTGTTTTTACCGTTTTAATCTTTGGCAAGATTGTTTTATTCGGTTGGTAAGCTACCCAGAGTTTGTGTGACGGTGAGATGGGCTACATATAAATTTAAAAAATAATAAACAAACAAACAAACAAACTACTGGGAGATATTAGAGCAGATATGAATCTTTTTCTCCTTGCAGATACGTGAAGACATACCTTTTGCCAGACAAATCTCGTCAAAGCAAGCGAAAAACTACCATCAAACGTAACACCGTCAATCCTCTTTACAATGAATTGCTAAAGGTTTGTGTGTTTGTGTATGTGCATGTGTGTATGTGTTTGTGTGTATGTGAGTGTTAGACCCTCTCCCCTCCCCTCCTCTCTTCCCTTCCCTTTTCTCTTCTCCTCTCCTCTCCTCTCTTCCCTTCTCTTATCTTTTCTGTTCTCTCCTTTCTTCCCTCTCTTCTCTCCCACCCCTTCCTGTCCCCTCCCTTTTCTCCTCTCCTCTCCCCTGTTCTCCTTTTCTCTTCTCTCCTCTCCCCTCCCTGTTCTCCTCTCCTCTCAGTTTCTCTGTTACAGTTTTGCATCTAGCTAATGAAGAACCAGATTGACTCTTAAGTCTTAGGACTTAGGAGATGGAAGGATTGTCAGTGTGTGGGAAAATATTGGGTTATGGTTAGTCATCATTGAAGTATGTGTAACAAAATAGACCATTATGGGACTGTCTAACATGTGCTTTGTGTTGCTCCCGTGGACTACACGGAATTGGGCCAAGCCTCTGGCTTTCTGGCTGTAGAGGAAGGGGAAGATTTTCCCAGCACTGTATGTGCTGATACAGGGATTGTAGCAGTATTTAGGTCCATTGGTGAAAACCTGGGACCGGAGTCACACAAAATGTTATTCATAATGTGGTTCATTTGGTTTCGATTTAACGTATTGCATGGATCAATGGTTAACAAACCACCAGCGTGCCTTGTGTATTGCTCAGCACGATGCACAATCCCAGTTGATAACATTTTGCCAAACCAATCATTCTTAAAACAAACTCCGGCTTAGTATAATCTATGAACCCATGGACTGCAAAACCCATCACCTTTAGCTAGTCAGTGGCTTGGGATGCCAAGATTTGGTAATCCAGCAAGAACTCCAGAGGCATCTGGTTGATCATTGTGAGACACACAAAGTGTTGGGTTAAGGTGCCCTTGGTCCACTATCTAGAAGACAGGATGTATTCAGGGATACATGTCATTTGCCTTGTGAGGAAGACAAGCTTGTTTCCAAGTCAGTATTTTGTCCAGCTTTCAAAAGGAGGCTCACGTTTTTGAGATGCTTAGCAGTTAGACTTACATATCGCTTTACAGCTCTCTCTAAGTGGTTTATAGAGTCAACCTATGGCCCCCAACAATCTAGGTCCTCACTTTGCCCACCTTGGAAGGGTGGAAGGCTGAATCAATCTTGAGTCAATCAGTATCGAACTACTGACAGTGGGCAGAATTATTAATTCTAACCATTGGGAAGGAGAGGGGGAGCTATATCACTTAGACTTATATACCGCTTCATAGTGCTTTTACATCCCTCTCTAAGTGGTTTATAGAGTCAGCCTCTTGCCCCCAACAATCTGGGTCCTCATTTTATCCACCTTGGAAAGATGGAAGGCCGAGTCAACCTTGAGTCTGGTGAGATTCGATCTGTCAAACTGCTGGCAGCCGGTGATCGGCAGAAGTAGCCTGCAGTACTGCACTCTTAACCACTGCGCCATCGCGGCTCATTTACTGCTGCTGAAAACTCTTCTTTTGTTTCATCTTGTCACAGTATGAGATCCAGAAGTCTCTTCTGTTGACCAGGACTTTACAGTTCTCTGTTTGGCATTATGACCGCTTTGGACGGAATCACTTCTTGGGAGAGGTGGATATCCCTATGGATGCCTGGAACTTCGACAGCCAGTTGGAAGAGTGTCTTCCCCTACATGGAAAGGTCAGTCAAGTCGTGTCTCTTTTGCTGTCAAAGTAATGTAGATCTTGGGAGTGTTCCTGGAAGATATTTATGCCATGGATTTTCAGAGTCCCTAACTCTTTAGATGTTAAAAAAAAAACCATGAGCAAAAACGTTAGTAGCCTTTAGCAACCTTTTGGAGGCATGTGTGGGATTTTGAGAAAGTGTGCCTGGTGCTCTCAGAAAATGGCAGCCATGAGAGGCATGGCCAGTGCCAGAGTTTCCCACTAGACAAACATAGGAGTTTCCTTAGCATATTTTTTGTCTCTCCAAGATGTCCCTTTTTCTTTCTTTCTGGATTTGTGGACACAGTTATAAACAGCCATCATCTGGTTCTCGGAGCTAATGGTGAATGGTGAAGACTGGTGTTTTATTTATTTATCTACAAAATTAATTTATTTATAAAATTTATTGGCTGCCCATCATAGAAAATGGGAAAGGGTCTGGTATAAAATGACAAAGCTGTATACCGATGAAGAGATA